CGTGGCCCTTAAGCTTGTTCTCAGCCTGTTCTCGATTTAAGGTGGGTTGTGGTCTTTAACGCTCCTCTTTGTTCTGTCTTGTACTCTGGCATTGCTTCCCACTTGGTCAAGCTCCAGTATCACTACGGGCTAAAAGCTTTCAAGCTTTGCACTTTTTCTTTTTGTTCACCTTGAACCAACAGTCAGTGTTTGATGGTTGACCCTAAGGCATTAGAGGCACTATAGCTGAGGATAAAGTAGGAAAAAAAAAAACTCTGCGACAAAGCAGCAGCAACAGAGATAAGGTTGTATGGATGTGTGTGAGGTCTGTGGCACTAAACCTCTATKATCTGTACCACACTGTGATGATACTAAAGAGCTAATAAAATACTTAAAATACACAAAAACACGTTTATAATAACTACCGCTTCAGCCTTACTTAATCATTGATAAATGGTTAGTTATCCTTGAAAACATGATTACTACCAATTATTTATATTTAATAAGCTCTAAATTAGCATTTTAATGCTTTACACATAAAGGCTAATTACTTCCAAAACCAACATACTTGTTTATTCATGCTTAATAACTCATGAATTAACTATTCTTTCTGCTGTGTGTAATGCTCATATAAATGTACTTTTCACACCATGTGTTAGACATGGATTAATGGTTAGAGAATGTTTGGATATACTATGATTTGGGTCTGATTTCCAAAGATGAAAAGGAACCTGTGGCTCTTCAGGGKTTTGTCTACATTAATAAAAACTTAAAGCATACATAGTCMTCAGTTTAGAAGAGTTCACAAATAGAATAAACTGTTAGCAACTGTTTTAATTACTTATGTTCTGCAGGATTAATAGTCAATTCAAACATTTTCTAACTATTAATACATGTCTGCATATGCATTTACATAAACACAGTATATAGAATAGTTAATTCATGCGTTATTAAGAAACAATAAACTATGAATAGCTATGTTGGGGTTTGAAGTAATTAGACTTTATGGAAAAAAGATTAATAAATGTGTTAATTTATAGACTATTAAATATGAACCATCCTTATTTAATGAAGTTTTCAAGGTTTAATAACCATTTATTGATGATTAGGTGAGGCGTAGTTATTATAAAGTGCTAACAACACTTGTTTTGTTTCTATTACTCTGAAAAACCTGATCTGAATCAAATGTGAATGACAACAAACTAAATTCGACAAATGCCACTGTGATAAATATTCAGTACTGCTGACTCACTTTACATCCATTGTGCTGCGTATTCTGAACATAAATGGGTGATATTATCTGTAGTTGGCCTTCAATATCTGGATGTCTGGCCTACATTGTAGGTACTGACAAGCGTTTTCACATTGATTTCCCTGTAGAGCTAATTAAATAAGGCAGGAGAACCAGTGAGATGCTGCTTTACTGCGGGCATAAGATACACTTTTATTCAGCTCCTTGAACTGACATTCTGTGATTTTGGATTATTCATATGTCCATCGACAGCTCAGCATGCATGACTCATTATAGCTGTATTAATTTAAAAAGTGTTATTATGCTGTGAACATGCTTGAAAAAGGGAGCTAAAATCCCAAGTGTCACGTCTTCTGGTTCAAAATTCATCCACCTCAATTTTTCAAAAAGTATACATAGAGTATTAAGATCACGTTCAACAATAAATTAATCTGATTCACATAATGAAGGAGTAATGTTGAATAAAATACAAACTTCCCAAGTTCATTTTTTTTTGGTACAAGTTCAGCAGACAGCTCTGGGGATCTTTTTTATAATCTTGGAAGTCAACTACATGYAGTGTAGCGGTAGCAAAGTTCCGATTTCCTCAGAAGGAAACTTTCCGAGAACCTCGTGTTTCACTGCCCTGATATACTGTATCCTCCCTGCCTTTATTATTTGAGAGAAAACCTGAATGTAGTCACCAGTTTTATCTCCCAAACTTTCAAACTTTGAATAAAGACCTCAGTGAGAACATTTGGGTTGTGTTCCAGAAAGCCAGATCAATTCCTAAAACTAAAAAGTCAAATAAAGTCTGACAATTTTTTACCCAACCTTTTGATCAGAACATTCCCTACTACTAACAAAACATACAATAACTCACCAAGCACACAAATTTACAAGAATSTAAAACTCCAGCAGATGGATTTTATTTTCAAATCCAACATAAATGGCAAACTGTAAAAGTGCTTGAATAACGAATTAAATACAAAGTTATCAATCTTTGAAATATAAGAATATCAAGGGTGGAGACGTGATGTTAAGGAATTAAAAACCAACATGAAGTTCCTGCTTTAGTCTTTAGAAAGACACATTTCTCATGGATAAATGTGCATCTTTGTGTCCTTGAAGAGGCCATGAAAGGTTTGCTTGGTGGGCTTTTAGGGGAAATAATTTCAGCCGATAAGAATCACCAGCCTGTTCTTGTTTAGTGTTATCAGGGAGAGGAGCATGGGAAGAGGGGGGACACAACAATTGGCCTCGGCCAGTTTGAACAGGAAACAAGCCGTGCTCTTTGCAGATGTGCTGCTGTTTCAGGAACAGCTTGCGGTTTGATGGTCCCCTCACCAAACATCCAGCTGACGACCCCTAACACCACCACTGCAGTTTAAGCAAGGACACGCCAGATCGATTCAGCATCCGTTTTGAAGCCGTGACGAGAGCGGTGATGCTTGATGTGAATCCGATTGACGGAACTCTTCTTCTCGTTAACGAAAACACACGATTTTAAAAAAGTAAAATAAAGTACAGGTGAGTGTTGCGGGAGCTTGTCAAACATCTAAAAGTCACTTTGTTTAAACTCATTCAAGGCATGATCCCAGTTTGATCACACTGAGCTTAAAAAAAGACCTGATTTCCTGACCAGAAAATCCTTTTTACAGCGGGCAATAATCAGGCGATTTCAGCTACGATTTAAAGCATTAAAGGGATCCACGATTAGTTGTAACATTAGACTTTTATTTAATAAACAAATATTTTAACTGTAAAATAAAGACTGTAAAAATACTGTAGGACGTTTAGTTTTTACAATTTTTAAACTTAAAGTTAAAAAATATAGTACACGGACGGGGCCATTTTATTTACATGCAAAGCATTCTGGGTAAATGATGACGTGGGTAGGTCATCAGTGAGAGGCTGCTAGCGAGCTATATCCACACTGAAGGTTAATCTTGGACAATATCTGATGATCGACTCTTAAATGAAACCAGAGAGCGTTAACAGAGAGGAGAACACAAAAATGACTCAGCCTGGAACTGAAAATATSGATGGAGGACCTCAGTTTAGCTTGTTTGTCGCGCTAGCGCTGAGCTAATACATATAAGGCAATATAGCGTCAGTGCTAGCACAAAGGCTAACAGGCTAAGCTGAGGTTCTTCTTCCATGAAGCAGCTCTGTTGTCCTCCATTTATATTTTCAGTTACAGGCTGAGTCATTTCTACCTTCTCCTCTCTGTCAACGCTCTCTGGTTTCATTTAAAAGAGTCGATCTTCAGATATTGTCCAAGATTAACCTTCAGGGTGGATATAGCTCGCTAGCAGCCTCGCACCGAGGACCTATCCAYGTCATCATTTACCCARAATGCTTTGCRTGTAAATAAAATGGCTCCGTCCGTGTTAAAAWATATATATTTAAAATTTACAAAACTAAACAACCTACAGTATTTTTACAGTCTTTATTTTACAGTTAAAATATACGTTTATCAAATAAAGTCTAATGTTACAACTAATCATGGATCCCTTTAAAACTACAAACACACTGAGATCCACGCATGAGAAACACAGCACAGAGCCAGAGAACATATGACTCTGACCAGGATTTACCCTCAGAAAAAGAATGTTTTTTACATTGTATTTTTCATTCTAATTAACTCTCCCTACGTCATAACACCCAGCAAGAGTGTGCCTTATTTTTGGAGAGAGTATTTTTGTCTATTAGAGTGCCACAAATGCCTCAGAAGAGAGCAGGCCAATGAAAAAAAAATGTTTTTTTCATTTCTCACTATGGTTCAAGTTCATATAAATCATTTTGCTTTTGTAATGTTGGTTCATGTTGATCTGTGCCACGAATGACCTTTGATCCAGAAAGTTTTAGCCCGATAAAAGCTGGGATAGCAGAAAGTTTTCTGATGTTGTTAACTATTTATATGAAGCTGCAGGGAGATTTTTAAATATTAAAGTTGGGTGTATATCAAAGAATAGCTTCAGTGTGAGAAAGAGAGAAACATGGAGACAGAAAGTTGAAAAACGATTGACAGAGAAAACCATTTTATTTTTACTTCAGCGAACATTTCTTTTTCTCTTTTTTCTATAAACCCAACGTGTTGCCATTTTTGGCAGAGCTCGTACCCAGGGATACCCTCAGTCAGGGTTAAATATAAATCTGTAAACCTCATATCCTTGTGCATTTTTGCTAAGTCTATAATTGAGAAGAGTGTTCCTGAGCTTTGTGTGGCTCTAGTCCAACTCAAATACAGAGAGATGTTTCCAGCATAAACAGCCGTCTGCGGCTCCCACACACCAGCAGAACCTTGGCTGCAAAGTTTCCCCAATATTCTGCAACTCCAGGATTTTTCGGTTTTGACATTTAGTTGCATGCAAACCCGTATTTTTTTTTTTTTTGAACGTTCGACTTCTTTGTGTCAGAATTTGTGAAACTGTGCCGTCTGGACCGTGCACTATTAATGACCTGTTGAGTTTCCTCATTGGGAGTGAGTCAAATTGCTTCAGGGCATCGGTGCAGCTGTTGAATCTGCTTTTAAACTCAATGGACCAACAACAAAAAGGCCTCATTTGCTTACCACTCAACAGATAATAAATTACAAAAGGAAGCGCATGTGGAATGATGTTTACCTAAGATCCTAATCTGGGCCGTTGAGGGAGGAATACAACCTCTCATCAGGATGACGGATGTTTTTAGAATCAGATTTGAAGATGAAAACAACAAAAATAAGGAATAATCCATCCAGAAGATTGATTGAGTTTTAATTGTACAGAAGAGTGATGCGACTCACCCAGTGGAGGGCGTCATGATGCAGCCCCCACGATCCACGGTCACCCTGCAGCCACACCCCCGCTCCGGCGTGTCATGGTTCATCCCGAAGTTGTGTCCGAGCTCGTGGGCCAGCGTGACTGCAGCTCCCAGAGGATTGTCTGAATGATCCTAAAAACGCAGCAGAGTCAAATCTCACCTTTCACTCCGACAAGACTTACTTTTAGATTTCTAGACGCCAAACAACGTCCAATCATGAAATCTGTTCGTTTGACAGTTCTGCTGTAGAAATAAACACCAAAAGTTAATTAAGAACAGATTATTTTGATGAGATTTTGTAAAAAAAAAAATCAATACAAAGCAAATTGTTGCTTCCCAACCTGACACGCTGAAGAAAGGACTTGGAGCAAAACAAACACGATTACAAATTGTGCAAATTAAACAAGCCTATCAGACACATCTGGGCTTTGTTGAGAAAAAATAAATAAAAAATTTGGAGCCACATGGGCTGCGAAATTCTCACCGGTAAAATGAAAAACCAAAGTTGCAGCCTTTCATGAGCAGAGTTTAACCACGCCCTCGGTACCAGGGGCAAAACCGCATTTCCTCTTTTCTATTTATGTACAGTAAACTTGTGTTAACTTAAGATCTGTCATTTAAACACAGATATGTTTTATATCTACAGAGTCATCAGAACCTTGGCTAAAAGCTCCTACAAACCGTTTCTACGTCCGCCGAACAGTTCAAACCACAAACTGTTGAATCAGAAAGTAAACAAATTAGACAAAATGGCGTCAACACAAATCTGTAAATACGTTAGAGCTGATCTGTAAACTTTATTTATCTTTTAAGCTAACCTTTAAAAGTCTTTCCAGGCATGTAAGAAAAAAAATTTTTTTTGCATTTAAAACTTACAAAGTAACATTAAAAGTTATTGATGGTACATTATGCAGAATGACAAAACATCAAATAATTTCTTTACTAAAACCTGTAACGTTGCTCTAGTTTATTTTAGCAGCATGAATCTTTCCACAATTAATTTCCACATGTGATAATTATGGTTTTAAATAGGTTTTAGCTTTTCATTATTTTTTTTAAAAGAGCTATGTCCTTATAGAGGATCGAAACTGACATAAATGTAAATACATGTAGAAATAATTAAACGGCTTGATAAAATAAATAAATGGCTTGATAAATTAGTAATTAAGTAATAATGTGGAAATTGTTGCATAAAAACATCAACAAATAAGAGTGTGATTAATTTATTTGACTATACAGTGCAACATAAATTAATATTATATCATTTTCAACCTTATTAATTTAATATTATCACAATTAATTCATTTTATTTTTTATTTCAATCATATATTTTTTTATTAGTTTTACTTTTAGATTTCATTATTTATTTTGTCTATAATTTCCCTATTCTGTATTTATTTGCAAAAAAACTCCTGTTCCATCCTCACTGTCTCTGAAACAATAGCAGCTGCTTTAATACTTATAAACTTCTGATAAAATCTCTCATGAGTTAACTTTATTTTGATACCAAGATAATTTAAATAGTTTGTAAATGCTGAGATACACCCAGTTACATTTTGACACATTATTTCAAGCACAAACTGCAAGGAAACCCCTGGAAGCTGAAGAGATTGAAAACACCTTATGGTGAAAAGGGACAGAGGTTTAGCTTTTTTGGTCAAATTGAATAAATAATGTCATGCTCATGCAGCGTTGCAAGATTTGAGATGATCTGTTAGTGTTTTAAGTATGTGTTGGAGACGATGCTCAGCTACTAGCACAAAAAAGTTTCACCTAATATCTGTCGAAATGACTGAATGATAGCCCACTGTCTGTTTGCTAAAGTCGATTAGCTGTCATGGCCATCTTGAGGACAACTGGAGAAAAAAATCACAGATAAACCAAATTAAAGTTAAGCAGTGGAAGCTGCAGCCACACGATGAGTGAAAGCTGCTGAGGAGTTCCTGGAAGTTGTGTCCAACACGAGCACATGAAAGGGCTGGATAAATATTGAAGCCATCAGCTCATGGATGCAGAGCCGCATGTCAGGGCACCTTGCCTCAAGAAGTTTCTGACACCGTGCATTATTCAGCAGTGCTGCACGAGTCGAGCTCAGCCTGACCGACTGGCTCTGCTGGGGGCTCTTTGAAAGGAAAAAAAAATAAAAAATCAGCTGTCAGCACTACAATCCCAGCGAGCAGCCCAGAGGGCACTTCATGGAGATTGTCAAAGCTGCATTTCATTGCACCAATTAAATCAACAGAACAATTATGGCTGCTACAGAGATTCCAGATGTCTTGATTTACTTTAATTGCATAAAAGAATAATAATGAGCACTTTTGAACTAATGAGCTCGAGAGTCCTCTCTAAACAAAGAGACACAATTCAGGCAAGATGGTTGTATTTTCGCCAACAAAAACCTCCGTGGTTGATCCTTTTGTCTGCAACCTCAAATATGGGTGCATGTACATAATGAGCAAGCCCCAGCTTTCTAATCTGGGAGGATAAAAGTAAAAAAAAAAACAGTCTTCAGAGGGGATATTAATAATCTAAACTGGCTCCAGAGGGAGAGACAGTGAAAGCGGAATAATAGCATGGTTTGTGCAAATGCAACATTTAAACGCAACATTTAGGACTGCAGGTCTGTAATGGGTCAAATCCTTACATTTCCATTCAGTTTGCGACATACTGTTACCTTAAATCCACTCATTTATTGCACCTCATTAAAAAGCAAACCGTTTCCMCTCACACAATCGATACGCACTGATTTATCACTGATATCATATATTTCCTTCACTTGACCTTCCTGTAAAAAGCCTTAATGATGTGTTTGCCCTAAAGTTGATAGCAGGTAATATTAGCTCCAGAATCATTTCTTCAACTTAAGACTCCGGGGGGGAAATTTTTAAAGTATTTTGTGAGATTGGAGGGTGAACAAAGCAAAGGAGAAAGGGCAGGATGAAGGAAGATCTGCCGATGTGTATTTCCCTCTAGAGGAACGAAAAAACCATTTGAATAACTCAAAGTAAATTGACGCACCATGACAATTCCTCCCGACTGCTCTGCCGTGCACATGCTCATGATGGGCGCCATTCCAATGGTGGTGCCTTGGAAGTACACGCCGCTGAAACAAGAGAACAAAGCACTGGTGTAGATGCTCAGTCATCCAGGACAGGACATTTCATGTGGTTTAAAGCTTAGAACATGGTCATGACACATTTATCTTTTGTACAAGAAGATAAATAAAACCCACTCTGAGAAATACCATTTAAAGATTTTTTTAAGATCCCAGATTATGTCTCATTAGACTTTATTCGATTAACATATATTTTAACTGCAAAATATAGTCTGTAAAAATACTGTAGGCTGTTTAGTTTTTATAATTTTTAAAAATATATTGTAACACGGATGGAGACATTTTATTTACATGCAAAGCATAAATAATGACGTCGACTAGGTCATTGGTGCGAGGCTGCAGCTTTGTTCACCCAGAAGGTTAATCTTGGACAATATCTGACGATCGGCTCATTGAAATGAAACCAGAGAGCGTTGACTCAGCCTGCAACTGAAAATGTGGATGGCGGACAACCGAGCTGCTTCATGGAAGAAGAACCTCAGCTTAGCCTTTTAACTTTAGCGTTAGCTTTCCTTATGTGTTTTAGCTTGGCGCTAGCACGAAAGCTATCAAGCTAAATTGAGGTCCTGCATCCACATTTTCAGTTGCAGGCTGAGTCGACATGCTCTGGTTTCATTTAAAAGAGCGTCAGATATTATCCAAGATTAACCATCAGGGTAGCCTGGTAAAAACCAGACCCTTGTCCTTCACTTTGCTTCGTACGAGGGTCTGCACTCGCGGCCATAGGGAAGCGATTCTTGCTGGAGGCGTGGCCTCTGCTGGTGTTTGTGTGTATGTCGCTGTGACGGAGGCTAAGCTAAGAAGCTAACCGGAAATCGCATGTGCTGTAAACAACCCTACTGAGAGGAGAGAAGTACCGAGCTAAATGAGACGACTGTAAATGAGAGCTGCTGCTTTGTCAGACAAATTTATTTTAATTTGGAAGACTTATCAACACGGACTGGCTTTATTCACTTTCTCCACTGCTGTATGCTAAACTAACTAGCAGACACTGCGCAGAACATCGACGTTCTGTTCTCTGATTGGTTCGGCTAAAAATCTGCCAGCAAAATCCTTGTCTATGGGAGAAATCCCAGACGGAGCAGTGAAGGGAAACTAGAATTGAGYGGAGCTGCGTAGGAAGGCAAGGGCCAGGCTACCACAGGGTGGATAAAGCTAGTTTGCAGCCTCTCACTGATGACCTATTCGACATCATTATTTATGCTTTGTGTGTAAATAAAATGGCTCCATCCACGTAATATATTATTTAAAAATTGGTTAAAAAAATTATAAAAACTAAACAGCCTACAGTATTTTACAGATTTTATTTTGTTAATGTTACAAGTAATGGTGGATCACTTTCAGACAACTGCATGCTGGTTTGTGGTTTACCTGATTAGCTGGGCGTTGTCATGGGGCTTCTGTGGTAATAATTTGACTTTCCTCCAGTCTAAAAACTCGTGCAAGGTGGTGAAGGGGTCCTGGGTAATGGGACACTTGTCGACGTCACTCCATACCTCGAGCCCCACCAGTGCCACTCGGATATTCAATGCTCTGTAGAACTGAGGGTAGTGAGGAGAAAAGCAGGGAGACGTTTGCTTTTAGATTTTGCTTAGTTATTTTACTTTCTGCTGATAAATTTCAGAAAAAAATGTTACATGAAATGACAAGGGACTCTCTGAGGTCCTTCCAACTATGACTTCCTATTAAGAATACATTATCCTCTGTTCCTGTTTTATTCAACTGACACATTCCTTTGCACGATTCTCTTTACAACATGTCTCAGCTGAGTTCTGAAATCGATCATCCTTTCATAATGCAATCAGCCCCTGTCCACAGGTCGCATAATTCTCACCAGGCTTGATGTGACCTCTAATGAATCACATTCCAACCCCACATTCGCTCGTTTCCTTCAATTGTTACCTTGTCCACATAATTGGCGATCTCAGCCAGCCGCTGTTTGACCTTCTCCATGTCTTTACCTTGCTTCTGAAACTGAACGGCACAAGCAAACAGAATAAAATATGAAATGGAAGGAAAAAAACTGTGCTCATGAATGTTTATTATGCTCATGCACGAAAAACCTCAACACGATTCTGAACATTTTGAGCCGCGCGACAATTCACGTAGTTTTAATTTAGCTACCACTTCTGCAGCCCTTAGTAAACATATTCTGCTTAAACTTATATTTAAAAAAAACAACTTAAATGTCCTTTTATTGCATAATGCTGAGCTTGAACGTTTTTTGCAGTCAAACTACTTTAGCATTTTTTAATTGCTATTTTAACAAATCCTATATCAAAACATTTAGCCTGATCAGGAAAAGTGTGCTGGGATTTTTGTAAATTGTAACTTTTGTACTTTTAGAAATATTTAACACTATTTAAAGTAAACTTTCCGTAGAAATATATTGAGATCTTTTCAATCCCTTTAAAATACTGTGCTCATTGAAATCTGCTTCAGCATACCTGCTTTTTTTTTTTTTGGTCTTCCTTTAATTTATTTTAGTGTTTAACAACATCGTTTTTATTTCTGCTTTTGGTTACAGTTTTGTTAAATTTAACTTTTAGTTTAGCAAATTCTGAATTTTAGCTACTGTTTTGCTAATTTTAGCTTTTGCTTTCGTCATTTGAGCGTTATTCTACAATTTAGAAAAATTACTTCATGGGGGGGCACACCCTGGACAGTCCGCAAGACCATTGCAGGTTTTAACTTTTGTGTTGTTATTTTACCATGTAGTTAATGTTCATTTATTTAAAGCTTTTAGCAAAGTTTAGTTTTCCACTAGTCTACCCAATTTATCTTGTGTTCTACTTGTTTTAACATAAGGTATTAGCTTAATTAGCTAATTTAATTCACAGCACATTTTCCCAGAGGATTCATCTCCTCAAGTTATATGTAAAACATTTATTTTCCTGCTTTAAAGTCACGACACTGACCCACAGCGTTAACCTCATGACTGTGACCCTCTCAGGTTGTTACGTTAAAGATTTAAGATTTGCTCAGAGAGCATTTAAAGCCTCATTTGTGAGTCATGTGCTGCTGTGATGTATGCAGAAGGATGTAGAAGTGCTAAACGGATGAGTTAGCGACACATCAGAGGTGACAACATGGCCATAATGGAGCCGTCTTATCCACGCCTCGTGGGAAGAGGGCCGTTTAGCATGTGACCTCGGGGTCTGTTTCATCAGGCATCCTGCACATAAGGTGAAGAGGTTGCGACCTCTGCTTACCTCTCTGTTGTCAGCCACGATGATGAGCTCCACGTACTTGGTTGTCGACTGCAGGTGGCGTTTATGCTGGAAGAAAGTGCAAGGGAAAATAACTGGTGGGAAAGGTGGAAGAGAGCAATTCGGGCACTGGATTGAACAACAGGTTTGAGAAGAAAAAAAAACAGAGAGAGGAAGGAGGACATATGGAAGGACAGCCTAAATTCATCAGGTGGACACTTAATAGGGGTTTTCTCCTGCATCATGTCATATAAAATAAAACACAAATGAGATCAGCACAAAGAAATCAACTAGCATTTACATTTACAATAACTGCTGACAACAACACTGTAGGCAGAGATTCTTAACTTATGGGCTGCGGCCGTGAGCGCCACCTTGAGGGCCTCAAAAGAACAACAATTTTTAACTTTGGGTCGCAGAGGGCCGCGGGACCGCATTGATTTTGAATAAGGTGCAATACACTTTCTCACCACTGGTAGCAGTAGTGCGCCACTCAGTTGTTTAACAACTTTTTTAATATGTAGAAGAAGAGCCTTAGAAACCTGCCAAGAATGGAAAAATATTTTAAATGAACAGTAGAAGACAAAAATGAAAGTAACTCATCAAAAAACACCAAAGTTTGTCACTAATATGAAGTGCAGC